TTCTAGCTGCAAGACGCCGGGCGTCCCCCTTAACCCAGAATGTGTCTACCGTCGACGATGGCGCACAGCTATACACCCTCGTCAGCGGTTTGCTGGGGGGAAGACGGCGACGTCAGCCTCGAGGATATTCCCGCGGTAATGGGTCTTTTTGAACTGGACGAGATGTCTCTCCGAAAGTTCGGCGGTGCAATATGGGTACGCGACTTAGCCGGAGTGGTACGACCGGAAGAGGAGATCAACTCTTCGTTGCTTCTGGATGAATTTTTCCTGGAGAACACCAAGAGGGTTCTGAACGCACGAAGTGAATCTTCGATTCTAAAAATACATTGGATCCGTACTATCCTTTAGAGAAGAATATTAAAGACATCGTCTCCAAAGACCCGCCGTCGGTCTTACCTCCGGACCGAGATGTGCGACATGAGATCGACGTGGTTCCGGGAATCAGATACTGCGTAACACGTCAATGGCCCTGCCCAAGGAGTAGTGTGACGTCATTAACGCCTTCTTTCGTGAAAACCACGAGGCAGGTATGGTTCTTGAGAGCAAGTCTCTCCGTTCGACAGCTACGTTCTGTGTCCGGAAAACGAACGTCAAGTGGCGTATCGTTCACGCTTACTAGGAGCTAAGTGCTGCCATAACTCCGGCCCAGACGTCAATTCCAAGTAACGGTGTTCTCCAGAACAATATGGTTGGCTGTACAAAGCACAGCGCACTTGGTTCGGTTGGTTGTTATTACCAATTGCTCAAGAATGAGTTTCATTCCGCTGACAGCGGTAAATACTCTGAGCGGGATGCTCTGGGAGTGGCTGGTGATGCCCCAAGGAATTTCAAATACTCCAGCAACATTAAATTGTCTTGTGACGCCATTGTACAGGCCCCACCGGGCATATGCACAGACATACTTCGACGACAGTCCTCGTCCACAGTCGTGCGGGGCACAAGACATCTTCCATTTGAGGGCGGTGCTTGGGTGCGCGCGCGAATAAGCTGTGATAAGTGCATCTTTGACGCGGGCGAAACCCCCATTTTAGAGTACTTCAATGGGATGCGTGGCCTTCGAGCAGATCCCGCTGAGGTCAAGGCCACTGTGGACTGGCCAGTTTTAAATAAGCAAAAAGACTTGCGTAAGTGGCTTGGTCTCGCCAACTACTTGCACGAGTATAGCGCAAATTATGCGGAAATGACACGGCTGTTGTCAAATCTCCTTAAGGAGGATGCGGACTGGTGTTGAGCCACTGAGCATTGGGAGGTCTTTGACAGGGTCAAAGACAGCCTCCTTCATACAACACTACTAGTGTCACCATACCCCGATCGTCCTTTGAGTGTCGTCTGTGACGCTTCGGACTTTGCCATCGGCTGTGCACTGCTGCAAGCAGACG